CACTTAAAGACTGTTTTTGGGAAAGTTTTTTCTCCAGCCAAAGGTAACATGGACATTGACATACTTTGTTTTCGGACTGAATTTCTTCCACTTAAAGACTGTTTTTGGGAAAGTTTTTTCTCCAGCCAAAGGTAACATGGATATTGGGGGCCAAGTTGGAGGTATTAAAGGGACTTACTTGCTTATTTGACTATGTTGCCTTTGTGCCACGCCCTGGGTCAGCACACATATATTATTTGACGTAGAGAAACAATACAGTCTAGTTTGAATGTATACATGCCACATTTATTTCATTTTGGGGAAGCAGCTTCATCTGACCAGGCCTTAGTACCAGCCACCCACAACATACAACTCTAGTAACACTGAGTTCTCCATCAAACGAGGGGATGTGAAGACCACTTTTGACTTGTAGAAACATTCACCATTTTGATCAAGGAGAATATTTGCAGCTCAGGGTTGAAATGAGGGGTCCTTGGTGCTTTCTGAGCAGAGTGGCTTTCCTGCAGACCTTTCATTACCCAAACTAGGAAACATCATGAGTGCCTTGATGATGTTACCTAGTTGGGGTAATGAAATGTCTGCAAGACAACCACTGAGCTAGAGAGCATTGAGGACTCTTCGTTCACCATTCCTTCCTCACCCGTTTTGCATGCATTGGGTGAAAAGCTCAGGGATGAAATCCTTCCGAACAGATTCAGTATTAAAAGAAAAAAAACTGGGGAAAAGCCACACACACTACCCCATCAAAGCTGGGAATCAGAGGTACCCCTTAACCTTTTCTGATAAAAATCAAAGAAAGGAAAGAGCATGCTCTGGCATTTGCTCTCATTTCAATAGATAGGTGCAGCCCTTTCTGCCTCCAAATAATATTTCCAAATAAGGCAAGGGTGGATGTGTAGGCTATAAATTTGTTCAGAAAGTGACAACAGTAGATCTGCAGGGAAAAAAGCAAATTTCCCCTCAAGTAGATGCCTGCCTTTCCTCAAGTCTGCTTCCTCTTGGAACAGGGCTGGCTTCACAAGTTCGTATCAGAGACTGTCACTGCTGCTATCACAAGACATAACCTAAAACAGTCTTCTCAAACCCTACTCGTTTCGCAGATTCTTAGCAGAGAAGAATATGTCAAGAGTATTGGACCCTGCAAGAGTGTGTCTGTCAGTCAGACTTCTTGGAAGGAGGCTGACAAACAGACCAGCTATTCTGAGGGAATGGATCTGTTTACAGGAAATTGGGGGGAAGCATTAGTGGCTTTTTTTTTAAAAAAAAATGGGAATGATAACAATGGGCTCTCATTACTAAGGACAAGGTGGTTTCTCTTAAGTGTAAGGAAGTGGAAGCAGTTTTTGTTTTTTTTTAAAAAAAGAAGGGTTCAGATTTTGAACATTGTGCTCGAATATCCTTTTAGATGTTGCTCTAAGCAAAGAAAGAACAGATTTGACCAATGCAGAAATGGAGGAAGTTACTTTGAGCCACAAGAAATAGGACAGATTATGTAGTTTTAGTCAATGTTCTGTGGAATGGAAGTGGGAATAGAATAGAATAGCAGAGTTGGAAGGGGCCTTGGAGGTCTTCTAGTCCAACCCCCTGCTTAGGCAGGAAACCCTATACAATTTCAGACAAATGGTTATCCAATCTCTTCTTTAAAACTTCCAGAGTTGGAGCATTCACAAATTCTGGAGACAAGCTGTTCCACTGATTAATTGTTCTCACTGTCAGGGAATTTCTCCTTAGTTCTAAGATTGCTTCTCTCCTTGATTAGTTTCCATCCACTGTTTCTTGCCCTGCCTTCAGGTGCTCTGGAGAATAGCTTGACTCCCCTTTCTTTGGGGCAACCCCTGACTTCATTTGCCAAGTGACTCTGCCATGCATGCCTCCTCATTCCGGTAACGTTACCGTGGGCTGCAGATACCAATCTACAGATGCAAATAGAGCTACTACTTCAACCCACTGCATTCTTATTTGCACCAATCAGTCCTGCATTGCAAATGCACAGTGAGCATTGGGGCTGGCCTAGGGAGGGGAAGGGAATACAGGTTTCCAGGGATTCTACTCTTACCTTCGGGTTTCGGGTTCAGTAACTGAATTACTGCATGCCTATCCTGCCAGCTTTGTTGCTTGGCATTTAGACAGAGACACCCGAGTGATATCACCAGGGTGTAGAGATGGTGACATCAGTACATTGATGAAAGGAACCAGCAAAGTGAGATAAGGCAGTGTCTAGACAATGTCATATGGTGGAATGTGGGCCAATAAAATGAAATTAAATCCTGAAAAAGTGGAGCCACTGGACTGGCAACTCACCAGTCTGGGAAGCAGGTGTGCCCCTCACTTCAAGTGAGGCTGCACTTCCCTTAAAAATGCAAGTTCCAGATTTAGCATCTTCTTGGATTCTGCTATCACTCAAGGTCCAGGCTGTGTAAGTGACAAGCTATGTATTCGCATATCTGTAACCCTTTCCCCCTTAAGTAACACTGTGTGGTGGCACAGTGGTTAGAACGCAGTATTGCAAGCTGACTCTGCCCACTGTCAAGAGTTCGATCCTGACTGACTCAAGGTTGACCCAGCCTTCCATCCTTCCGAGGTTGGTAAAATGAAGAGCCAGATTGTTGGGGGAAAAATAGGCTGACTCTGTAAACCACTAAGAAAGGTCTGTAAAGCACTGTGAAGCGGTATATAATTCCAAGTATTATTACTATTGTCAGTGTGCTGAGTTAGGTTATTACATTTTGTTTTATTTACCTTATTTTAGGGATTGTAAATCATCACGAAACTCTGCAGACAGTGGGCTATAAAGTGGATAATGGGTTACAAAGAAGTAACACCCTGCTCTGTCCAGTACACACGATGGACATCTAAGTCTGCTCTTTCTCTACCATAGGAATTTTTGTAGAATTGGTATTCACAGGCTGAAAAGTACAGCCGATGAATCACAAAGAAGCGAATCAGCAGCACCTCTCTGGCTCTCTAAAAAAGCTTTCACAAGAGCAAAGAACCTTTCCTGCCCAGCTTAACTCAGTTTCTTGCATCTGAAGAAGAATAAACAAATGTTTTATTTAGTATCTAGAATGCTGGACGTAAGAAATAAGTGTACAGGTCAATCTCAACTTATGAACATCAAGGTGGACTCAGCCTTCCATCCTTCCGAGGTGGGTAAAATGAGGATCCAAAGTGTTGGGAGCAAGAGGCTGACTCTGTAAAAACCGCTTAGAGAGAGCTGTAAAGCACTATAAACTGGTATACAAGTCTAAGTGGTATTGCTATAATTAGGACTGAAACTTCCAGCACTAAGTCAGGTTTAGGTGAGTCACACCTGGTTTTACGAACTTTTTCATTAAGCAAATCTGGCTTCCCCCACTAACTTTGCTTCTTGCAAGCCAGCTAGGAAAGTCTCAAAGGGTGATCAGGGGACCTTGGGACCACTGTAAATACATGCAGATTGCCAGGTACACCCGATTTTGATCATGTAACCGCAGGGACATTGCAACAATCACTAAGTGTGAGGATGGTCATAGGTCTCTCTTCTCAGCACCGTCATAAATTTGAAAAATGTTAAATGAATGGGACATAAGTCCAGGACTCTCTGTACTAGCAAAGGAAGAGCACACAGGTTCTGTCCAAGACCCATACAAACAGGAGATTAAGAGAAAATGCAAAGGCAACAGATTGAAAAGTCTACTCTATGTGTAAATTATACTATGGGTATGTGCTACTGCACAGCCCTCTTTCATTTAAAGTTGCCTCATTAAAAATAAAATACCTGATGCCGTCTCCCCACTTGGATTTCAGAGTTATGCCCGGAATCCACTGGAGTTGGGTGGCCAATAAATTTAAATAAATGAATGAATAATACAATTCTCAAAATCCACAGGACTGACAAGCTGGGGCTGGCTAGTAAGAGTGAAAAACAGCTGAAAATCATCAGATTGCCTAACTAACCCGAGCTTGAGAATTTCACCGACGAATGGTCATCTGAGTTAAAACATCCCAATTTTAATATCAATATCTGTCATGTTGAAATTGTGGATGCATCTCATTGTGAAGCACTCTGAAGAAAAGGCACAGCATGGATTTCCAACAAACGCAAATGCTGAATGCCAGGTGAACAACCTGGAGAGGTTGAAAGACTGCTCATGTGTTGTCACCCAAGGCAAGTGACTCATATTCCACCTTATCCCAAAGCCAAGATTCCCTGCCTTAGTACTTCCAGATCCCGCTCCCACTTTCAACCCCAACACAATAGCCAGCTTTGTAAACCTGTTGCAAGCTCTGTAGGTGGTTTGAATGTCCCATTGGGTCCTTTTTCCAGAAGATGCTGAGAAGCGTGAGTCACTTTCATGCCTGAAACAGCTGAAGCTTCAATTACAACATTGCTGTGTACACACCCACAATAATTACAGGAAATCCCTGGAGTGGATTTCCCCCTTGGGTTGAAGGAGGATCCTTTTAAGAGAGTGGCGAGGTACAGAATTTTAATCCAAAGTGGTAAGGTGTACTTAAATGGATTGCGAACAAGGCATTATCTTCTTTGAGCAGGCAAAATCAACTCTTAACTTGCTGCCCAAAAAATCATTTTGAAAGCAGGTACAGGGAGAAAAGGGGGTGTGGTGGCCTAGCAGTTAAGAAGATGCTGGACTTGTCGACTGGAAAATTAGCATTTTGAGACCCCAAGCAACACATGATGGGATGAGCTCCCGTTCTTGCCCCAGCTCCTGCCAACCAGCAGTTCAAAAGCATGCAAATATGAGTAGATAAATGGGTACCACACAGTGGTGGGATTCAATTTTTTTTCACTACTGGTTCTCTGGGCGTGGCTTGGTGGGCATGGCAGGGGAAGGATACCTTAAAATCTCCAGCCAGAGGTGGTATTTACTGGTTCTCTGAACTACTCAAAA